GCCATTCCGTAAAACGTGCCTGCGCGTGCCACACAATCCGTGCCACTTCGTACATTCCCGAAACCAACCCGTACCACGACCCGTACCACTTTTCTTATAGGGAAGATAAGCGTATGCCAGTGTTGTTGAATGAAAATGACTAACTTGTTTAAAAAAATTTATAATTTAATTGACTTAAATAACCAAAATTCATTGTTTAAGAAAGCCAAATAACCATGCAAATTTAACAACGATAAACAGCTGCCAAGACTTGTAAGAATTTATATAACTATATAGTTTGATAGTCACATGTAATCAGCATTTTACGCAATGTGAATAAAATTATATCTAGTAATATCTATAGATATGCGGAAAATTAATTGACTATAGCACGAAGTGGCAGTTACGGAGTCGTTTTTAGGGCGTTAATGTTATTTCTTTTCGTATTAGGATAAGTTTTCTTTTTTTTAACGGAAGTACTTTGTCTTAACTGCGATCCCATTGTGTGTATAATAATAAATGGAAATAATTTCTTTGATCTACTGATAATCCATATTAGTAAATAGTCCGAACGACATATCACCCATTCACTAGTCACTCATCACTCGAAGCTGTGATGTTATTAAATGTGATATTACTTAATAATTTGGAAGTCGATAAAAGAGGAATAGATGGAAGAATACAATTTTACCAACTTTTAACTATTACAAAGCAAAAGAATATAGAGTTCACATCGATTTGAAAGATGGAAGAAAATCTAACAGATGATAGTAGTTCGTTCTCGGACGATGATATTCGTGTTGTGATAGGGTTTGGTAATTGTCGCATATATGCTCAGAGAATTATTCGTCAATTTTTGCTAACAGCTAAATTTTAAATTTTGTAAGATTTTGGAACTACATACTCGGTAATATTTGTTAGGGGCAAACATTTGAAATTTCCTAATGATTTAGATCTAAAACAGGTATCATCCGTAGGGTTTTGCGTATTGCCACACAAAATCTAAAGAAATAATTACCAATGAAACCTGGCCTGGAATGAAGGGTTATCTAAAAATTCCAACGGTTATTAAATATACCGATAAGAATTATGATACTGTTAAATCATGGGGATGGTCTGCGCTAGCTAAAAGGCCTAGAAAGAAGGACGGCGATGTCGACACCATGCCTATCGAGCACTTCAAGCTATGTTTAGGTGACTTGCCCGAAAATCTTAAACCAACGCTTCCAGTTCCTGAAAAGAAGGTCATTACCGACTATTTTCGGGAAATAGGCAACGTACAAAATTTTCAACATTTGCGTACTTTATTGATTTCAGCATTTTATGTAAATAATTTAGTTCGATCTTTTCATATTAAAGTTAATGAAAGACACAATAGGACGGGCGTGGCCAAATGTGGATTTTTTGAACCAAGTTTTACTTGTCCTCACTGTTCCCGCTGATTTTTCCGAGAAGGCAAAGAAGATCATGAAGGAATGCATGTACAATGCTAACTTAATTAAAAGCATGGATACGGAAAACTTTCAGTTTACTACAGAACGTGCGAATATTTATTGATTTTTTATTTATGCTATTTCGGGAATAAAATTACGTTCTAATTTATTTTATTTTATTTATTTTTAGCGGAAGCAGCTGCTATTTATTGCGTGAAACATTGTCTAAAAGAGCAATCACTTACATCTGATGATAGTAAGCTCGATTTTAAGACATTTTTGCATATATATCAGATGAACAAATATTAATGATCTGTAAATTCCTTTTAATATTCATAAGCAATATTCATGGTAGTGGATTGCGGCGGCGGCACTGTCGACTTGACGACCAGAAAACTATTAACAAACGGCCAGCTAGGAGAGGTTGCTGAAAGGGCTGGTGATTTTTGCGGAAGTACTTTTGTTGACAAAAAATTTCTTGAATTGATGGATTCAATTGCTGGAGAATCGGCGATGAAAAAACTTAAAGAAAACAACTATTGTGAATTACAATATCTTGTTAAAGAATTTTGTGAACAGGCCAAATTTCAGTTTACAGGTGATGATCCTGATTTTCATTGCGAGATTGACCTTGAAAGGTAATTTTAATTATTCTTATTTGCATATTGTTATTGATAATTATACTTATTATTACATTGCTTTCTATCAGCACGTGCCCCGTCTTAAAAAAATATGTAACTGGTAGCCAGTTAAAAAAATTGAAAAAAGTTAAATGGGAAATTGATATTAAGTTTGATTCTATCAAAGCCATGTTCGATCCAATCATTGATAGGATTATTCGAATGATTCAAGTTCAACTTGACAATTCCCAAACTTCGAGTTTGGGTATGGCCCGAATCAGCAATAAGTGCTCGGCTATATTTTTGGTCGGAGGATTTAGTCAATCAATGTATTTGTTTAATAGAATTAAAAGAAAATTCGCAGATAGAGTAGAGAATATCTCTTTACCAACTCAACCTGCTGCTGCAATATGTAGAGGCGCAGCAATGTATGGTCTTAGCATGTATAATGCAAAAACCTATCCAGGTTTGGCAACCGCAAAATTTATCATCAGTACTAGAGTATTGAAATACACATATGGCATTGGAATTAGTCCGAAATGGACCGAAGGTGATCCACTACATCGAAAAACTCATGATGGAAGAATTGAAAAATTTTTGCGTCTAGCTCAACGAGGTGTTGAAGTTAAAATTGATGAAGAATTTTCTTCAACACAATATCCAATTTACCCAGATCAGACTGGTATAAATTTTTTGATATACATTACTGAGAATATCGATGGTGAATACTGTGATGAAGTTGGGATGAAATTATTGGGAAAGCTTAAAATTGATCTTCCTGATGTCCATCTTGGGTGTAAAAGACCTGTTCGATTCTCTTTGACGTTTGGCCGAATGGAAATTACTGCATCTGCAAAAAATATGATAAATGGCCAAAATTATCATTCTAAATTTGAACTTGTCTTAAAATAGTTTTATGTATTTTGATTTAATAGTCTTGTATAATATTATTAGTATTATAGTATTGTTAGTGGAATAGTTAACTACCGTAAATAGCCGTATATAATAGTGGATCAACTATGTATCATACTGGGTCCATAATATATATAGGTCAAAGTTTTGATAGAATGTGAAAGACCCAGATATATGTAGGAAATAAACATTTAATGTCTCATATGATACGTATCTAAAAATGATATCTGCCATCTGAAAAAAAAAAGATCGTATGACGAATTCGTCATTGTTCATTTTGAGTTTTAAGTCATGCAATGTATTGCTTCACGATTGCTCAATGCAAATGCATAATTTGTTTAATTAAGTCTGAAATTCAGGATTCATTATATCTAACTGCTGTGGATCTGTTTAAATTTCTCATAAAAAGCTAGCTTGGATCACAGTTTGTCAGCATTAATAGCGATAGATATTTCCTTAAGTATTAAACATTTAAATCTTTAAGAGATTCTTTATATTTGCCTACTGTATTGTGCAACGAAATACATTCTTATTTTGCCTTACTCATTAGTTTCTATTTTTATTCTTTTTTATGATTGCTATTTACGGTCAGCTCTCCGTAAGTGCACATTGCTTAACCAAATTTCAACAGTGTGTTGTATTTAGAGCATTCATTATCACGTGTTATAGTTATATTCCATAAGTGCACATTCCCCGACGGCGCACTTATTGGAGCTAACCGTATATTTTTTCTGCTTTAATAATTATGAATTAATTATGGATTTGAATTCTATATATTTAACTACATTAGCATTATTTCTGAAAGGTTAAAAATTACATGTACAATAGAGGTTGACGATGATCATAAAATGTAAATGGCCATTGTGAATGAATCATATGACCACCTACATGAAGAAGTACAATCCCGTCTGATCATGAGAAGCAAGTTTTTACTAAGCTTAAGTTAAATTCTGATGATTTTAAACCTTTCACAGACAATAATTATATTAAACTAGAATCTGTACAGTACGTGCTTCACTACGTGAGAATTATTATATATATAGTGTTATGAATTAATAATAATAACATGTATATTTTTCTTGTTACATTTATTGTAGAAAAATTTGTAAGTAAAAATTTATATTATGTCTAATGCTTGAGATTCAAGCGTGCAAATTAAATTAAATTGTTTATTGTGAAATACAGTTTATAAAGAGGTTTTATTGTATATACACACTCGAATCTCAGATATTGGTGATAATGATTTTTTATTTACAGGTTTTTTTCTTCGGTACAAAAAGATAGCGTATATATTAGGGTTGGGCATGGCAAATTTTTGCGGCATGCCCTATAGATTTATAAATTATAAATTATCATAATTAGCATTAATAAGTTTTAGTTCTGATTGGTTAATTATCAAATTGACCAATCATATGATAGTTCTAAATTACATGATAGGGGCATGCCTCTCAACATGCCCCAGCCCTAATATATATGCATAAAAAAACATAAATGATTAGTATCTAGTTCAGGTACAGTGATAGTTAAAAATTAAAGTTTATTTTTTAAATAAATAGCCAAAAAAGTTAAACATCACGTAAAGCCTATTAATGCTGTATAACTTTCCTTATACTATAGTATACAGTATAGCATATATGGTACATGTCATATTATTATCAACAACCAATCAAATTGCAGAAGATAGACATAAAAAATTTACAGCTATGAAAATGATTTAGAATTTGCAAATATAGTTCAAACATGTTAACCATATAATAATCTAATTCAAATAAACAATTTCTTAAGTTAGAATTCTCTAGGCTCTACAAAATAAAGGTTATTTTATAAATAATAGTCAAAAAGATTAAATTAATGCTGCGTAACTTTTCTTATACTATTGTATATATATAGTATATAGTATATATGGCAGTGCTGAGAATTGGACATGTCCAATTAAATTTTTTAATTGGACAGTTTTGAACATGTCCAAAACTGTCCAAAACTATTTAAAACTATTTAAAATTATTTAAAATATTTTGAAACCAGCAATATATATATACTTACTTGTTCTTCTAATAAAAGTTGTAATAAAGATTACCCCAATTTTAATAGTGGTAAAAATGTAAAAATTGGTTTGGTGGATAATGGGATATATGTAAAAAAAGATTCACAATTCTTTAAAGTTTCTTAAAATTTTTTTAAAAATGTAAAAAACTTTAAGAATTGTAAATCTTTTTTTTTATATATATCTCATGATTAACCAAACCAAATTTATGTTTTATTATTGTTAGAATTAGAATAACCTTCTCTATAACTTTTATTAAAAGTATAATTAAAAGATTAATATAATAAAATAAACACATCTGATTAAAAAACTTTGTTTTTTTACTAATTATAAACTCATGCATAATGCACAGGAAAAATTT